ATTTATATATATCTTATTTTGACATGAATATCCTGCTGCAATACAAATAATATCAACAATAAATGAAAAATCATAAATGCTGTAAATAGCTGACATTTTAACTTATTCTACATTGGCTTCAGTGACAGGATGTTCTCTAATGTGATTATTTCCACAGATTTCCAAAACGATTTGATTAGTAAGTGACTGTCTTAAAACAATTTCCACAGATTATTTCTGATGTCAGAAAAAAAATAATGAGAAGAGAAATGTGAAAAAATTATAGGTATCATTTCTTCCTTGATATGCTATTTCTTGCATGCAAAATACATTAATGAATTTATGTATCTGCACTATTTATAATGAACTATCTGCTTCATTATATATCTTTAATTAAAAAAAAAAAAAAAAAAACCTCTTTTACCAAATGAATGTCTGACCATGTGACTAGGGAACCATGGCATTCGCCAGCCACTTAAACTGCCATTAAAAACACTTAGCATTTAGTACTAGTCTTTTAGCTTAAACAAGATGCATTGTTGTTGACTTAACTTTATGTGGTTTATATATTTATAGCTTCAACAACCGAAGCAGCTTATTCACTTTAATATTTCTTTAATACCATAACCTAGATCTTGTGCATGAATTTAAAAGAAGTTCTTTTTAGCTACATTAACTCAACCAAGACTGGCATACCAGAAAAAGCAAGTTATGTCTCCAATATCAACTTTTGAAAGACATTCTATTAATATATGTAGTTATATTAATAAATCCAGAGCTATGGACAATTTATTTTTAAACAAATTTTAAAAAAGACTAAATTACTTAATAATCTAACTGTATAATATCAAATGTAAATCAAAGAATACATTTTTCTGCATTTTTTATTTATATCAAAAAGTTTAAATATATGTATACATACATTTTCACAAAAATTTCACAACAAAAAAATTTTCCAAATACTCACAATGAGTTTAAAAAAAAAAAAAAAAGCAAATAAACAAATAGCTCTAAAAAAATAGTCACTGTAAAAAAAAAAAATGAGCTATAAAAAATACAGCTTTTATGCTAAAAGATATTGCTACATTACACACACAAAAAAAAAAAAAAAAAAAAAAAAAAGAGAATACATGTTTCATACAAAAACAAAATTATCATATTGATAATCAAGGTAAACAGAGCAGCCATTCTTGATGCACTGAAAATTCAAATGTTTTAAATTCTTATTTGTTATTTGAATGACCACAGAAACATCCGGTAACCACAGCATTTAAAATTTCACTATAATGTAAGGTGCTAATTTGCAGCAATACTACACCAACTAATTTTTAAATTACTCTCACTTCAATAATAGTGTTCAAATATGAACAAGCTATTCAGAATGTATACTTTTATTTCCAATATGTCACATAAAAATACTAGCAAAATAGTACCAAAATGACATTTAAAATAAAATTAGCATAACAATTTCATAAATTTTATAATCAACCATAATATGTGTAGCAAAACATATATGTGTACTCACATGAATACAGTTTTTATCCATAAGTGTATATATGATTAAAAAAATATTATTAACCTTCATCTCTTAAATTAAACCTTTCTAAGTTATTCACAGAAAAATGTTGGAACAATTTTACAACTGATTAATAATAAGTGTAAAATAGAAATATTTGTCAAGATATAATTCTAACAATATCAACTATTGTAAGAAATACTTTGGAAAATATATTTCATACACAGAGAACTCGCCAAAAACAAAACTATAAGCATTTAATTTCTACTCAGAAAAAAAGAGTGTTTCCTTAAAGTATTTAATACATAAATCATATTTCTACAATTTTAAAATGTCACGAGTAACAAGATACACCCTTTGATATTACTACTACCAACAGAAAAAAACCTTTGATTCTAAGAAAGTAAAACACTAAGATCCTAAAATAAATCCAGAAAAGGCTTTTCAAAAATTGGCTTTAGCTGAATATAGTCACTGCACACAGTCACCAAAACTGAGAAATTTAATGCATGAATTTCAAATGTCGCCTGTAAGTAGCCCCGCTTTAACAAGGAAGTAATGGGAACTAACTTACAGGTAATTCAAATTGTTACCGGACATGCTTATCTGGCCAAGCATCACCACAAATGTGGTCTTGTTGAATCTCCTCTCTGCCCAGCTTATGGAGAAAAAGAGGGAACACCTATTCACTTCCTGGGACAATGTCCGGTGTTTTCTGTTCCTAGAAACAAATTCCTTGGGTTTCCCTACATCAGCTTCAAGCCCTTCTATACAAAGGGCTATCAGGCATAATAGGGTTCCTAATGTATACTAAACACCTACAGGTAAAGTGAATTTGAAACCACAAGAAACAAGCAATGAGATGCCCTGCGAGTCTTTTTTTGGGGGGGGGGTAAAAAAAACTATGCAGAGAATTCCCTTTCACAGCTGTGTTTTGGGATATAAATATTGATATCAAATCTATATACACCACCTGGCCTGAGGAAGTACCTCTGTCCTCTTTAATTTATTTTTCAGACTCACCATCGCACCCTTGTTTGGTCAAGAGTTTGCGTTCGGTGGTTTGGGAGAGATTGAATCTGCTCTTCATCCAATTGGGATATCTTAACGATTTAACCGACCCCCTGAATTTAGAGATGGGATCTTTTACTAATACTATATATTTGGTGGCAGTTTAGGATCTTATCTACTCATTTACTATTTACCTTGCACGGGAATAACCATTTAAAGTCTTTGTTTTAAATGTTCAAATAGTGAAAAGAGCAATGGGCAACATTGCCTAAGCTCTTTTCCTTCTTTTTATAAGAAGGAAGTACCACCATTGTTAATGTTAATAGTTAATAATTCAGAGAATCAGATTCAAGATGCACCTACGCTGGGCAAGGTTTATATGAAAAGAAAGGGTGCATTTTAGAATCAAAGAAATAAGGTTCCTTAAATGGGGAGGGGAAATATTTTATAGTGCAGATATTTTAAATAGACAAGGGCTTATTTTCTCATATATATGTTTGTGATAAAATGTTTTCTTTCAGATATTTAATATTAATGGTTTGTAAATGAATTGTGAATATTTTTAATTTATATCGTTAAGTTTTCGGTGGGCCATATTAAGAAAACAAGTTAAAACTCTTACACTGAAACCACAGAGTGACATTAGTTTGGAAAGTCATGTAGATACCCTAAAACCATTATGCTTCGAAACAGAAAATATTCACAATCGTTTTTTAAGTATTTATGAAAATGTAGAAACAGATAATTAAAATGCCACTGGTTTATTATAAAAATAAAACAATTTAAGTTTTTATCTTCAATCGTCATTTGGTATAAAATTTTGAATCGTACTAATCTGATATGTAAACTACTTCAATCAAAAAATTTTATTTTATACTAAGCTACCAATTTATTAAATAGCTCATTAATTTTTTAAAGAATTAAGATCAGATGAATCCATTGACATCATCTTAGACACTGAAAAATTAACTAACGAAATAGCCATAGAAAAAACTTTGAATTGATGACACCACATCATCGTATTCTATCTAAAAAACAAAATTTTTCATATGAAAGTGTAGATGAACCTATACAAGATTCGAAAGAGAGATATAAAACATAATTTTTTTCTTTACATCAGACGATCAGTGCACTGAAGCTGAGATTCAACCTTACACAATAGCCATAATGACTCTTTTAAGTTTTCATACCCTCTGTGGAAACTTAAAGGCATGTAAAAATGAATTACTAGCATATTGTAAAGATCTGGAAAAAGTCTTAACAAATGGCGGTCCCTCCGATCTTAATGCTTTAGAATTGGATGAATAAATAGAGCTTGTTTCTTCACTTTCAAAAAAGAAAGAAAATCCATCTGACATTCTTAAATTCATTACCTCTCTTAACCTTGGCCCAAATTTTAGCATTGCTTTAGAAATTTTGCTAAACTTGACCATAACTGTTGCTACTGGCAAACAATCTTTTTCTAAACTAAAAATTAATACAAAATTACTTAAGATCCATTACTCTGTTCAAAATCATCTTAATGGGTGGGCAATGTTGGCCTTTGTACATGAAATGTGTAATAAATTAGATGTGAAAGAAGTTGTTCATGTTTTTGAAAAAAAGGTTCAAAAGAGATTACTGTAATTTGCGTTTCAACTTTGTATAACGTACTAGCATTCTTTATTCTTTGTTGTTGTAAAAGTATTGGTTGTACTAGTTTTAGTTACAGTATTTGTGTGTTTTTAATAAAAAAAAACTTTCATAAATATTACATGAATGCAATATTTATGTCTTAGTTCAATTAGATTAGATTGCATTTTTCTGGTTATCATGTTTTTTTTATAAATCTGTTTTCTTTTAATTTTAAAGTTTTTAAAACTTGAGGGATATCACTTATGAGGTTTGCCTATGGCAGCAAAACACTAGGGCTAGCCATGCGAATATGAAACTGAAAAATGCAATTGGGTTAAATTGATTATTTTTTCCCATTTAATTGAACAAACTGAAACATTTAAATAAGCAATGTTCATGAAAATTAAGAACATAATTTTATACCACAGATGCATAAAATCATATACTCTATTTCTGTTCTGAATAAAACAATTTTTACCTTTACTTTTATAAAAGCATTTTTGAAAGTGTTATTTAAAACTGAAACAATTAGTAACAGATTAATATAACATATATTTCCTCATTTAAATACACAGAATAGTAGCATTTAAATAAAGAACGTTCATGAAAATCAAGGATGTAATATTATACCACGGATGCATAAAATAAATAGTTTACTTTTTCTTTACTTTTGTAAAAACATTTTAAAAGTGATTATTTAAGACTGAGAGAATTACTAACAGATTAAGAAGAATATTACAAAATATGAAACTTACGTTGAACAGATAAGCTCAGAATTTTGGATTTTATGAATTTAGGCAGTAATACAAACCACATTATTAACTAGAATTAATGTATATAATGTTATTTTTCTATTAAGTTTTCTAAGTACAAGATTATCCTAATAACATAATTTAAAAAAGAAGTTATATATATCTGCTGTTAAAATTTGGCCTGTAAAAGATCCTTTAATTTTCTTTTCGAACTTTGAACAATGGGCTTGGCTTACAAGTTTGGAAAAAAAGATGAAATCTTTCAAACATTGAACGTTCATGAATATGTCCTGAAGAAAATGAATGTTGCTTTCATCATTAAAATTTCCAAATAACACTAATTTATTGAAACCCAGTCTCAATGGCTGAAGAATTTCTAATTCTGAACATTTTGTAGCGTCATCTACGATACAACATGTAAAACACGTTTCTGAATGAGGACCGAATGCAGACATCAACATAGGCTGGGTAGAACTTCCCAATGTTGATAAAACAACATTAGAATCATTCAAAACAGATAATTTATATTTCATATGAGCAGAATGACTCAGAAAATTCTCGGAATTAATATTTTGTTTCAGGCACTCGTACTGGTTAGTTAGAAACTGTAACTTTTGCTCAATATTACGGTCAGGAACATTAGTTTGTTTCTTTTTAAGCTCATCAATAGATGCTTGCAATAAATTAAGCTCTTTTTTCTCAAACTCCACTTCATTTTTCATAGTTTCCTGGTACAACTGAGTAGCTTTTGAATCAAGTGAATGTGGTAATAGACGGAAGTGCATAGATTTTGAAAGTCCTAATCTAACAAATTTTATACAACTGTTTGAAGCACCACTCTCGTTTGCCTCAATCAATTCCCATCCTATTCTATCAATTGCTGCATTGGATGGTGCTGTAACCAAAACTTTTACTTTATTGTTATTATTAGAAAGCAAATTTTGAAGTAATCCAACAATTGTTTGTGTTTTATCTCTGGAAGACATATGAAGCATAATAATTTTAGGCTCCAGAGTTGCTTTATTTAGCACGTCACTGATTGCTAATATAGCTTGGTTTGGAGAATAGCTAAAAGGAGGTTTGCTGGAAAGCCCAGAAGGATTACTTAAGAAAAACGTTTCCTCCCTAGGGTACAAAATATCCTTGCACAGTGGTGATAACTGAAGATAATTAAATGTATCTGCCAATATTAATTTACTTTTTATATGACAGATAGCATTTGCTATTAATAATTTTCTACATAACGGATATGTTCGCTGCACCTTCATATAAACAGTGAAGTTTATAATACTAGCCTCTTCCATGTATTTATGACCCAAACATTTCCATTCCTGAGTTAAAGTCTGTAGATCCAGTCTTCTACTATAATGTTTCTGAATGTAACCAATCATGTAATTATCCTGAGTCTCATCTTTACAATGTAATAATATGACAGATCCTTCGCATGGGCAGAAAGATGATTTATCTATAACCGATTCACAGTCCAATTCCATAATGTAATTATTCATTTTATATGATAAAACACGCATGTAAAACTTTCTCAGATCTTTCTCAGAACGTTGTATTATATCTTTGACTTCATGACATATTGAATCCCAAAGTTTCGCTAAAAGAGCTTGGTGAAATGAAGAAACATAAGAATCTAAGGACTCAAAAGAGAGTGGTAAAGATGCAACATCTCCAAATGGAAAAGATTCATGAACCTTATTTATCATGGAAGATACATCAAATCCAAGTACTTCTTTTAAAACAGAATAAAAGTTTATCATTTGTGCAGGCGATAAAGGATCCTTTAGTTCCAAATTACTATTTTTATGGGAATATGGAAAAATGTTACTTGTATTTCTAGTCAACACTAAATTTGTTTTGCTGAAAGGCATGTAAGAACTGCATGGCTCTTCTGTTATTTTTCTAGTACCCAGTGGAGCAAATTTTAATTCTGTTTTATTATCTCTATACATAACTTTTAAACCAACTTTACTTAAATTATTGCTGGCAGAACCAACTTGCAACTTAACAGATGATACACTTGATTGACACTCAGACTGGGTATTAAATGAGTTTTGGGCATACGTTTTACCTCGAGGTTCATTGTGGATATTTTTCATGTTAGTTTCCATTACCTGAACTGGTTCAGAATGATTTCTTTTTCTTCCAACTTGATAATTAATATTCTTTTGCACGGTTTTTCTTGCAAATGCTTTTTTGCCACATACCATAGTTTCTACTAAATTTGACATACGAGAACCATAATTCTCACGCCTATGTGCAACAGCAGGTGATTTCGATACTCCTTTGTTTTCGACCGAGCTCTGATCCAATACATTTGCATTAATGTAGTTAGATTCTTTGACTTTAAAAGAAATACAACTTGGATTTATTTCTAATTTAGATATTTCTTGCATATCATTATTTTGCTCACATTTAGATTCCACATTCGAATTTCTATCAGAATTTTTTTTCACCAATGCCTCATATGCTTTCCAAGATGATGAAATCATTCCAACATTATTCCTTTCTTTAATATTTATATTCTCATAATTGTTCTGCGCTTTAAATGATTCTCCCTTGTTTCTTATACTCAAATTCTGATAATGCACTGGCAAAGGCTCAATTAACAGCATCTTTCCACGTGATTTAGCAATTTCTTTCCTTTCAAAGTCATTTTTATTTAATGTATTGGGAAAATAAACCTCTCTCATCCTTATAGGTTGCTTATCTGCTTTTGAAAATACCAGCTGAGCGCATTTAATAGGAATTTGCTCCATTTGTAAATTTTCTTCTTTGCCCTTTTCCACATTCTCTTTGCTTCTTTCAAAAGCATTACCAAATGCTGTCTGATTGTTTTTATCATCATCTGAAATAGAAATAATTTCTTCTGCTTCAGTAAAAGGTACTTTTCTAATATCATGAACTTGATGTAATGGTTTTATAAAAGCTCTTTCAGTTTCTACCATCAGCAAATTATTTTTTTCAGTTAAACCCACCTCTTTAATAATGCATGGTATGTTAGAAACTATTGCATGCTTTGTATCAGTTCCAGAATGAGAACAGCCTGATAAGTATACTTCATTTTCTAACCCTTTAAACAATTTGACTTCAGTTTGACACACAGAATTTCCAATTCTAGCAGCCTGACTTGCCTCAAATGTCTTGTTAATAAGTTTAGTATCGGCTGAATCATTTATCTTACTTTCTTCCTCATCTGAATGCCTTGAACTCAGAAATATACCTGACTGATCACTCCCCATTCTGGAAGTTTCTTCAAAATTTGAAGGAACATATTGGTCGAAGATATGTTTGTTTAATTTATCAGATGATTCATTCACTGAAAAAAATGAAATATTCTTTAAATTATCTTCAGTGTCTACAATTTCTTGTTTAATTTTCATAAGATTACTCCCATCACTTTCTGAGTGTTCTAATTCCTGTAATTTATTGCTGATCACAGATTCCTTTTCTAGTAGAACTTTATTTGCTTCAGGCTCAAGTTCTTTACTTTCTAGTTTTATTTTCTTCTGAGGGTTTTCCTCAAGCTCTTGAAGTGGAGATTTTTCGCGCTTTACCGCACCACAAGATGTGACCTTTGCACTGAATGTGCAAGCAAAACCCCCATCATTAAATGAAGGTGCGCCAAATCCAATATAATCTCCAATTTCTAACTTATGCAATTCTTTACCTATTTTAATACCATTGACATAAACACCATTCAAACTTCCTAAATCTCGAATATGAAATTCAGTTCCTCGTTTCTTAATATAACCATGCATGCGAGAAACTTTAATATATTTAGTTAATTCTTTAATCATTTGACGACCTATAAAATTTTCTTCTTCATTCAAATGTATTATAAGCGGATCGGCAAGTCCAGGTTCAACTTGCCTTAATATATAGTCGACATTCATTTTTTAGAACTACAAGTATTTGTTTAAAAACTTCATCTTGAAAACGAAAATCAGAAAAACACCAGAAAAATATATGATTTTGTTTCGCTGCATCTGTAGCTAAGTCTTAAGACCCGTTGAAGTAAAATAATATTGTTGGTTATTAGCGTCTCAAAACAGGGATGACTGTGAACGGCTCCCAAGAGGCCCATTAAATATTAAAGAACCTTGATTAATATTAAAGAACCTTGATCTCATCCGGTAGCGTAATGGCAGACCGCACACTGAGTTGAACAGTGTTAAACGAATGTCGCATACTGTGCAGCCCAAAAAAAATTTGGCGTAATTACTATATTGGCGCGATTTGAAAAGAAAATAAATACGGTATATGGTAGATGTACCGCCATCTTGATTGTAAACAAATCTGGCGTTTAAATCTTCCTAGAGTGTAATCTAAATGTATAATGTTTTACTGTGTAAAATACGATTTTTTTTTGCTGTACTGCTCCAACAACTGGAAACCTGAATGATACGATCAAGTATAAATTCGATTGAAGAGTGCAAAAAATGGGTAAAGGAAGTCAGCGTAAATACAAATTGCCCCAGTGGATAGCGCAAGAGCTCAAAACCAAATGCTATTGCAAGATTGCTTTCAGGTATATACGTAGGTACAGTCCAAAAAAGTTTACAAGCAGAAGCATTTGAAACATAATAATTGTGGAACGAATATTTCCACCCAGGGTGGTTGACAGATGGCACTAATTGTCCTATAGCGGTTCTACGAGTTTGTGGAACGAATATTTCCACCCAGGGTGGTTGACAGATGGCACTAGTTGTCCTATAGCGGTTCTACGAGTAAGTAGCGTCAGTACGCAGATACTTAAAAGCGACAGTAATGGTACGAACGTCTAGAAAAGTGGTCTCGCATAGAGGTGCGAGCCGTAATTCAATTCTTATGGGCCAAGAATGTGGCCGCATCCGAAATTCACAGACAAATCGTTGAGGTATACGGTGACAAAGCAATGAGTAGACAACAGGTAGCGAAATGGTGTCGTTCTTATCAAAAGGGCAAAGGGAGCATGTGGAAAACCGCAATATGGAAGCGAGCGGCCATCCAAGTTCTTCAAGGACGGATATCAACACGGGGCCTTGAAGAAATCATCCAAAGGGATCGACGAGTAACCGTGCGTGAGATTGCCTCAGAGTTGGACCTGAGTTATTTACCATAACGTTCAGCGTATCGTAACCGATGAGTTGCGATATTCCAAAGTTTGTGCCCGCTGGGTTCCACGTGCGCTGTCCGCGGAGCATAAGGCCACTCGAATGATGTGCAGCCTCACATTTCTTCAGAGATACCATTCAGACGGCCAACACTTCATTGATCGCATCGTTACCGGTGATGAAACGTGGCTTCATCACTTCAGCCCCACATCCGAAACAGCCACGATGGAGTGGAAACACGCTGGATCACCGACGAGGAAGAAGTTTAAGGTCATCCTCTTCCGGATATCAACACGGCGCGTCTTGAAGTGATGGCAACCGTTTTCTGGGATACGACTGGTGTTATCCTAATTGAGTATTTGGAGCGTGGCCATACCATTAAGGCCGATCGTTATTGTGCCACCTTAACGAAATTGCATAAAGCCATCCGACGCAAACGGCCTGGATTACTGAGCAAAGGCGTCATTCTTCTGCATGACAATTCCAGGCCCCATACAGCTCGCCAGACTCAGGAATTGCTGCAAAGGTTCAAGTGGGAGGTCTGGAATCACCCCCCATACAGCCCCTATTTGGCTCCAAGTGACTATTTCCTTTTTCCGGCGTTGAAGCAATACTTATCCGGAACACGGTTCACCTCAGACGATGCAGTGAAAACAGCTGCCGAGAAATGGCCCAATGAGCAGGATCAAGGAAGTGCAATTTACGGAGTTCATAGGCAATTAGGCCTTTACCTCCACATCTTCAAAGGAAATTAAATCATCCGAAAGAGGGGATTGTCAAATAGGGTAAAATTTTGATAAGCCGAATGACTTGGAGTAAGTGCCTTCACACTGAGTCAAAAAAAGGCAAAAAACTCAGAAGGTCTTAATTTTGCGCCGAAAAAGGGCCAGAATAATTTAGATAGGGGCAGCCATAAAATTTTGACTAGAAAAATAAAAGGTGAAGTTTCCTTGAACCTTGATAATCATGTTTTGCATACGTCAGATGAAGAATACGCAGGGGAATTCCGATGCGCGTTCTTCGAGGTGGGAGGGAGGGGGGAACCTGTTTACAGGTCGAAAAAGTAGTTCTGCCAGTGATCAGCTGGGAGGGAGAAGTTTCATTTTTGACCGCTATTCAATGCGGTATTTAAAGGCCAAAAAGGACGCTGTTAAGCGCCTAAGAAAGTTCCTTTTTAAAGGAAGAGAGAAGCTATAATTTAAAAATCTTTTTCAGTTTTATTTTTCATTTGATAGGTTAAAAATATTATAAATCAGTCCTATTTGACTGTGATGTTTCTTATTAAAGAAACGTTAAAGGAGGTTCCTCGAGTTAATGCCGTGTGCATTAAAGAACTTTAGAGGCGGGGGGGGGTTAAGGAACGAGAGGTAGTTATTCACGTGGCTATCAGTGTGCTCATATCTAGCCCGTTTAAATGGCAGAGCTGAATATTCCCTGTTAAGAACCGCTCTGGGTCTTTTCCGGGAAGAAGCAACAGCAGGATCGTATACGGGTAGCATATGAAGCACAGGATTTGCAACACGTTGAATATTTTTGAAAAATTTTTCCGAAAGTCGCTGTATATAGCGATTAATGGGCATAATTTTGAGGTCGTTATGAATCTCTTCGTTCCGTACAAACCACGGAGCTTTTAGAATTTGCCGAAGCATTTTAGATTGAAAAATTTGGACATGTTTTCTGTTAGTCAGTGCACATGGGCCCCATACGGGACACGCATACGTAAGAACCGGCCTAATCATTGATTTGTAGAGCAAGATTTTGTTATCAGTTGACAGGTCGCTATTACTAGCTAAAAGGGGGCGTAGGGCGGTTTTGACAGCTGTCGCACCCGCTATGATTTTGCGGATGTGAGGCTGCCAAGTTAATTTTGAGTCTAGTAAAACACCTAGATATTTGTAAGAAGAGACCCAGGGAATGGGTTCACCGAAGAGCATTAAATTAGGTAAACTTGGGATATTTCTTCGGATGAACATAGTGGCAGCACATTTTGCGACATTAATTTTGATTTTATACAGACCGAGCCAGAGTTCTAAGGTCGAAAGGTAACTCTGCAATTG